GTCTTGTGTATAGGAGGGTGTGGGGGGGGGGGTGTGGGGGGGGGGGCAGAAATCCCCAGGAAACTCCTTTCGTGCAGGAAAAACGTGCATACAGCTCCTGCGACGACCCTCCACCCTGAACTCCTTCACCCCCGCTGACCACCACGTCGCCAGCGCTCAAACCAGCTCACATCCATTAAAACAGACAGCAGAATAGAGAGGAACTCGGGAGGTAAACGTCACTTTGTCCTCCTTCTACTGTTGAGGAAAAGGACGCACATGTATATGTACCCAGGGTGGGTGGGTGGTGGTGGTGGGGGGGCTGGTGTGAAGCGAGAACAGAAAGTCTCCAGTAGCAGCAGCAACAGCAGCTCCACGCCGCCGTTTCTCCTCGCACAGCAAACGTTAGCCGATGGAAGAAAAAAAAGCTAACGCTAGCTAGCTAGCTAATCCAAAACAAACGAGGTTCCAGAGTTGAAGATAAAACCCCAACGCGTGAGCACACTCGGTGAACGCCTCGTCTCTGGTAGTCACAAAACGGTGAGGTAATCGAAAGTGAATGGGTATTTTTAAACAAAAATTAAAGACGGGTCAAGTGTAAAAACTTAGATTCCCGTTCCGCGTAGCGATCGTTTTCCCTCAGGTTGCCCCTCTCTCTCTCTCCCTCTCTCTCTCTGTGAGTCTCTCGCCAGTAAACAAGTCCTGCCAATCTCCTCAGCATGGCCCGCAAGGTCTGCGACAAAACACGGACTGGATCGTTGTTATACAGTTGCAGTTCTCTGGATCTGGACTCTCTAAACCAGCGAGGCGCTGCTTGATGGTGTAAAATAAATAAAACAAATGTGGCTGGAAATGTCTAAATACTGGGAGCGTGTGCAAAGGAACATAGTCTTCTACTACACGGCTAGGAACTGTGGAGTGAAATTTATTAAGGTCGTGAAAATTTAAATAGAATTTTAAACATTATTCTATTTAATCACCTAAGATCAATTGCAGATTGTTGACCATATATGAAGGAACCAGATAGATCCATCCACAGTCCCCATAAAGGCCGCATATGCTGCGCTAATTTCAGAAATAAGTCCAAAAATCTAAAAACATCTTTAAAAAATATTTAGCTGATTCTCTCACTGTAATGGTTAAAAACAGAAACTCTGACAATTGCCTTTTATAATTCCAAAATTCTGATAAAGATAAAAAAAATCAGCATCAAGTATTCATGTTGGTCAAAGAACAAGAAAAACATACAATTGAATTCAATTTTATTTATAGTCTACGTTTCATACACAAGGCAAAGTAACAGTGGTAAACATCCCCTGCCCTTTGACCCTCAGGTTGTCCTTGGTGCTACGGCGAGAAACGACTGGTGCTGTTACCACAACATTTGAATTGACGCATTAATTTCCTCTGAATCACATGCTCGGTTAAACAAAAACAATCGTCACGTGTCGGTGATAGTAGATGTTAACACCTACTGCGGTATTTTATACATTATTTAGCTTGCTAGCTTTAGCCCACGTTATCAAGTATTTAATGCGGTGAATCAAATGTATCCCGCGATGTAGTTGTTATTTTATTTAACAGCTGGAATATCCACGATGCGTCTTATTGATAGAACTGCAGGAAACAAAACAAAAAAAAAATCTGTTTTTAGTTAAAAGATTTACACTTAGATATGACAGTGACAACACGGATGGATGTTGTCACGGCCCGGAGAGACTGTGGACAAAACAACGCTGCTGAATGTCATAGTACAGTGTAAATGTTACATGATATCTCAGCCTCACTGCCAAAAGTAAACACCCTTCTACGAAAAGGGAGAGTAAACAAAGCTCAGCTTTAGTTTAACTGTGCAGTTGTTAATCTGCAGTAACCCCCCCTCCCCCCCCCCCCCCCCCCCTCCGCTGGTTAAACACACGACACAAAACACAAAACAATTTCCCGACCCGTTGACTACGAGTAGAAGAGACTCGTTCCTGGTCCTGTTGATCACACAGGTCAGAGTTGACGCGCGTGGACGGAGCTAGCCTTGTGCCGTATGCTTGTTATTAAGCTAAAGGAATGCTGTTACCCAGAGAACAGCATGAATGAGGTATTAGTGAGATTAAATGTCACACGTCTCAAGGACTAACGACTGGAGACTCCAGTCAAAACACAACTCTTCGTTGTTGTCAGTCTGTCTCATGCCTTTGTCAGACACAACACATGCTCTAGTTTTATCTTCTCTCTCTGTCTGTCTCTGTCTCTCTCTCTCGCTCTTCCTCACTTGCCCGTTTCGTTACATTCATCCCTCTGACTCATAAGCACCGCTCACAGTTCCATTTCATCCTTTTTTGAAGTGGAAGCAGAGAGAGTTCAGTGAATGGCTGCTTATCCCACTAACCTACATACGAGTGGCATCGCTGCCTCTGCTCTGCTGCTGTACTACAGCTTCAGCTCAGTAGGTGGCACTAAAAATAACTGCAGGCAACTCACCCACACCAAATTTCATTCGGGGACAAAGGGATAGAGGATTCAATTTGTCCAGAGACCCTGGGGTCAAATAAACACCGTGTGATTGTGTCAGCGTTCGCCCTGGACCCATTCATCCTGACGTGGGGGAATTCTCCTGTAAAAATAAAGAATTTTAACCGAAACATATAGAGAGTATGTGCTTTTTTTTTTCTTTTTTTTGAAGTCCCAGGGACCTCATCTTCCTCTCCTAGGACACCAGCTGACGTTGGACTCATGAACAGACAGTGTTCTCCGCTGACGACGTGGAATCGTGCCGACACCTGTCGTATTATTAAGAGCTTTGGTGGCACTATTAGGATCTGTCCCTCGGTGTTACTCAAAAGAGTCCAACGTCACTCTTGATATTTGGAGGAACTCAACACAGCAAAGCAAAGTTTTTATACCAAATATAATCAGAAAAAATACCCTGACAAATTAGTGTACTTTTAAAAAAGTTAATTCACAACAGAATATTATATAGAGTAGAAATAAGTTACTGGACTCTGGTTCTCACCGTGTGACGTCTCTGTTACCATGAGTTCATTGGTGAAACGGTTCTCAACCTTTCCCTGATTCCAGTGGTACAACAAGGAACTGTTGGAGGAACAACACAGGAATTATTCTCCATCATTTTTGTCTTTGTCTGTCCGTCTGTCCATCTGTCCGTCCGTCCATCTGTCCGTCTGTCCGTCTGTCCATCTGTCCATCTGTCCGTCTGTCCGTCTGTCCGTCTGTCCGTCTGTCCGTCTGTCCGTCTGTCCGTCTGTCCGTCTGTCCGTCTGTCCGTCTGTCCGTCTGTCCGTCTGTCCGTCTGTCCGTCTGTCCGTCTGTCCGTCCGTCTGTCTGTCTATCTGTCTATCTGTCTGTCTGTCTGTCTGTCTATCTGTCCATCTGTCTGTCTGTCCATCTGTCCGTCCGTCTGTCTGTCTGTCTGTCTGTCCATCCATCTGTCCATCTAAAGCTTCACAGTTATAATGACATTGCCACCGTTTGACATGACAAAAAAGTTTAGGGTTTTTTATGTGGATTGAATCTCTCTGTGGTTCCTGTCTCAATCTTTGTCTAATAATCTCAATGTTTTTATCCTTGATTTTGTAGCTACAAGGTGGAAAAAGTCTATGAAACACATTAAGGAAATCTTTATCTTCTCGTCGTCGATAGGTTAACGCTGTCCCTGATGCAGACAGACCCCGGCCAGGTGTTGGACACTTTTATCTGAAACAGGATCAGTGAGGCCGATCAGT